AAACTTGTTTCCTTCTTTGAAAATTTATAAAAATTATTTTGGTTTCAAAGGTTATCTAGAGTGCGTTATTTTCGAATTTAATGGATGATTGTTTAGAAAAAACTGTGTTCGCAAAATTAATTGTCTAGCGTTTTTAAACTCTAGTTTTGTTACCTGCTGCAATTACTCGACATTTTTCTTGTCTATTCAGTAAGCATTTTAAGTTGCTGTTCTCAATATGACTCAAATGTGAAAGTCCAAAAGTGTAATATAATTTTAAGTTAGGTTATCCTCTGCTAAAAATAAACACGCATGCATTTAATTTCTGGAGTAATAAATCGTTCTTTTTTACTGTTTTTGTTAGTCAGTTTTTTTTTCTGTTAGATGAATCAAGTTATTTCCTACCGAGCAATTTTTAAAAACAGAAAGCTTCAGCCTTTAGCTGTTTTACACATCTAAAAACTATGCAGTAAAACCGGTTTTTATAAGACAAATACGACCTCTATAAATGTTGCTACTAGGAACCTAATGGCAGCACATTTAGACCGTTTCAAAGCTTTAGTCTCTTTTCAGCATAGCTATATTTGAAGAGTTGTATTGCAACTTGTCAGAAACAAACTTCTGTAGTAGGCTATCTGCTGTAGAAATTTTTCAAGCTGCTAATAACAGCAAGGTATCTGTGTGGAAAATTAAAACAAAAATGAAATTTATAGGAGAACTGAGCACTATTTTGAGCTGCTCTGTTTTGGCTATGCAAATCAAAGGGCTTTATGCGCAGCAAAAAAAGCATTTTTACGCTGGTATGCCAGGTTTTGCTTAAACTTCATTTGATTGGCGAAGTTTGACTTCATACATTAAAGAGTTAATTACAAAAATCAACAGTCCATCTTTTTGAATCGCCATTATCTCATTAATAGCAACAATTTGAAGACAGTTCAGCTGTAAAGAACTATAGATAAAGTGCTATGAAAGTTGAACTCACTTTACTCATTTCTCTTTTACAGAGTTGAAAAAAACAACTAATTAATAAGATTTAGTTTTCTGTGACAGTTCCTAAGAGTGTCAATAATAGTTTAGCATTTCATTAAGACATATATTAGATAGTTGAACATTTTTCAAAAGAACTTTTTTTAAAATTAATTTTCTTTTCTTCTTTCTTTTGCATCAGAACGAATTCTTAGCAAATGAATCTGGTAAAATAGTTATTTTTACAACATGCTGACTGGTCTTCATGGACGGGACAAGTATTGCCTTCCGCATATAATTGTTGGCAATACCATCATCAGAACAACTCGACAGTAATTTTAAAAGTAAAAAAGTAAAGTGTAGGATAGCGCAACCAACCTGTGCATAAGGTTGCCGTCAGCAAGACCCATCTGAAACAACTTCATCATCAGGTTTTTTAGGTATGAATAAAAAAGATAGAATTTTTTTTCGTGAAACAGTTTTCACACCTTTAACAAACCGATCGGACCATACCATGCGAAAACACTGTAACACCAGCTTTGTAGCTACATCGGGAACCCATTTACAGACCATCCAGTTTTTGCACTTTATACATAGCTTCTATAATTTTTTTTGCTCTTATCTTTTAGTTCTGCTCGAGAACTGTAATACATACGAAAAGAAGAACAATTTGATTAACCAATATTCAATACCTTTTGCTACGAAATTTTTTGATTCTATATTTAGCAATTCTAACTATGATGCCCTTTGATAACCCAAAAATTTTCAAAAATAGCACCATTTTACTGCAGAAAATTGAACTGAATTAAAGCACCGTTGATTTTTATACAAATTATAATAAATTTAAAAAAGAAATCAAGATGTGCTTTTTATGACACAAAGAAAGTAACTGATAATAAAATCCTAGTAATTGGCACTGTTGGAAAAATCAAATCTGCAATATACAGCGACAGCATCGTTTTATTTATTGATATTCAGAGGATAAACGTGGACCAGTTACCTGCTGCATCAAAATACTTTCTTCCGGTTACTGTGAAAGTCAATGGTAGACGAAATAGTTTAGAATCGCGCATTCTTCCAGCCTGCTCTGATACTTAATTACTGAAAGTTGCAGCGATCCCACAGCAAGAAAGAAACTTGTAGCTAGTCATCAAATTGTAATACTTAAGTATTCGTACAGCATATCTTAGACCATCTCTGTAGTGTTTCAAGTAAAAAACAAACTTTAAGATACGACCATTTAGCCAGAATGTATGTTTTCAGAAACACAAATCATGTTTTTCTAAAAATCATCATTTGTCGTTCCGATTACAAATTGATATGAATTCCGAGTCTAGAATTTTACAACTAAGTCAGTTTAGTCCATTATCACACAGCTGATTTAAACTGTTACAAAAAATCTTATACTTTTTGTATACTAAAATTCTCTAAGCAAGCTTCATTTATTTCCAACCTTGTTACTGGCGCCCTTAGAAACCAAAAAACTTTCTTAACCGTTACTCAGTAACTGTTTTTCTTCCAGCTGTGATTATCTACCACTGTTGGTAAATATTATAGCTACCGATCCTTACTTCTGTGAAATGTTGCAAGAAAAAATTGGTTTTATCTGTCTTTCTAAATGTTGCATAGTCTCTTTGATTCATGGTGCTTTCACGCCAGATGGAAATCTCCAAATAGCCTTAAGCATTAAACTTGACTTAAACAGGTCATATAAAATTGCACCCGGAAGTTTTATGACAGGCTAACCAGTTTGCAGTCCTTTATTACAAAGTGCGGGCAACGTTTCCATCCCTCCTCAAAAAAGCATTAAATTCAGTAATAAGTGGCAACAGTAAAAATTTCAATTTAATATAACAAGTTTGCATTCTAACTCACTCACGCACTCGCAATCCCGATTTTTGAAAAGTAAAAAAAAAGACTAAATGTTTAACAACACTGATAATCGGCAAAAAAGACTTTGTATCTTCAATGCCAAGTAACAAAAGAACGAAATGAGAAAAACAACAATAAATTAACTGTATTTCAATCACGGAACAGCAACAGCAAAGTGCATGTAATTCTCTTCTTATTTCCGCCTTGGCAATTTAGCTAAACTCGACTGCTTTCTTTAGATGAAAACGAGAATACCAAAAAGTTGGGAACTGAAATCTCGACAGCATGAAATCATTACTGAACCAAAAAAACACCATGAAATAAGATCTGGTATAAATCAAAGCAATATTGACAAGTATCAGCGGCAAAATCTGCAAGCGTGAACATAAAAATTCTTCTTTGGTCGAAAAAAGCTCCCACCGTCACAAAAAATTCAACCAGTCTATTGCGCTTAGCTGCAGCAAATAGCAAATAAAAGACGACCACCAAAACAAATGTCTTTCCAATAACCACAACAAAGTATATCCAATGTAGTGGCAGCCAAATAAAAGTGTACAAAGGAAAGAATCACTGGTAATTAAGAAGACACCAATTCGACAATAGGAAGCAAAACAGTGAACGCTAATTAAAAAATGCCCTCACCAAACCACAGAGAATATGAAAGAAGCTCCTTGAGTACTTTGTAATAAAATCAACCTTAATAAACCACCTGTAAGCAACTGACATAAAACCAGAGGACATGCTGAGGAAAAAATTCACAGACAAACTGCAGTCTCAATTACCTACGAGCAAAATTCAAGTCTGTTTATTTAATCAACAAACATTTTGCTTTTTCTTCAAATAATGCGTAAAAATCAACGTTAGTGAAAGAAACTAAAACGATTTAAAGGAACAGTGCCGAAAAAATCAAAATAGCCAACACTATTCTGTACAATTTCAAGATGTTGATCCTAAATTTAAGTGTCGTCTACCTCAATTGAAGGCACTTATAAGAAAAAAACTGCGCTACTGCCGAGTGACAAACAACAGCCTGGTTTTTCTACAGTAAAAGAAAGCTAAACTTGAAAAACTACTTAAAATTCAGTAAGACCACTCAATAAATACGAAAAGAATTAAAATTAGAACTTTGAAGCCAAGTAATGAAATCTTTTTTTTTTTTGGAATTTCACAGACAACTGGTTATAGCCACTTTTACATCTGAAAATAACCAATAATAGAACAACGGAAACCGAAAACCCTCCAAACTTACAAAAGACTAATTTTTTACAGCAGCCTCATATATCGTCTCATTAAAATTATACTTTCCTACCTCCAGCCAACAATAGAAAAAGCATGACCGAATATTCTCAACAGGTGTTAATTTTTCATAATTTCATACTTTACATAAAAAGACACTCATGCAATGAATATCCAAGCTCAATTTCCTTAAAACTACGCTTAAATTACAAATAAAACAGCATAAATCCGCAAATAAGAGGAAATTACCGCACATCAACAAGTAATTTAAGGTCAAGTCTTCCAAAAGTGAAAGAACTGATTTAACATTAAAACTACAAGAGACACAATATTTCAATGACTTCAAAAATTGCCCCTGTAGCGCAGTGAAACGAACTACTCCAACAGACAAAAAAATTTTTAAACTAGGTTTCTAACCACATATTTAGAAACTCGGTAATAGTATCAGTGTCCCACTTCTCAACATTCAACGTTCGCTGCGTCTCTCCAAAGATATCCTTCAATTTAATAGTAGGTAACGTTCCTCTTACATGTCGTACCTTTACACGAGGTCCCCACTGTCTTACCATGTCAGACTTAACAAATGCTGAAATCAGTTACCAAACATAAACAGTAATGATCATTTAACCTGCAGATGTATTCTGCAAGCTGCTACGACCAATGTCAGAGAAATTTAAATTTTAAAACAAATAAGGTTAAATTTGAAGTTTTTTCATCTTGTTAACTAGTAAAATCGACAAACCCTGTACTTGAGGAAAACGACCGAGGTTACATTCACAAATTTCGATTTGAGCAAGAGGATACTTCTATAACAAAAAATCATGAGCATCAATAAAAAAAAACAAACACTGAAAATTCGCCCTGCATTTAAAAAGGAAAACGAAAAAACGGAAAAAAACGGAAACGGAAAAAGTAAGAAGAATTCAATCGAAAACTAAAAATTGTTTGAATAAAATTGTGACAGAAACTGAAGCATAAGATAAGTCAAAAAATATTAATCAATATAACCTCAAATGGTAACGTGAAAGATTCTAAGTACTTGGAAAAACCATCTAGATTCTTTCCAAAAGACTACCAATACAATTCAAAGTTATACAGTAATAAACTTCACAAGTTATCCAACAATTGCCATTAATTATCACTTCTCATACCTACCTCATGTTTCTCTTCATCTACATCCTGATTGCAACATTTTTTACAGTCCTCTATAAGCATATCTAGATGAAACTGGCTTAGTTCGCTACATGAAGAACACTGTAACGTATCCTTATTAAATCCTTTGTCATGGCATTCGTTTACACTCAACTCTGCTCCACACAGACAACCGAGTACAACCTAAAAGAGGTGAAACCACAGCAACAAACTAATTCGCGTGAAATTATTGAGGTACTCTACTGTACCATTACAGATTAAAAAATAACTCACCAGAAGAAACAATATACAAAGTGAACAGGTGATCATTGAGTATGCTATAATTTGCTAACTGCAGAAGCTTTAAAAACCTGTAATCTTTGAAATTAAAGCAGAAAACGAATTCCATCAACCAAGAAACTGTCACTTTCCCCAGGAAATAATCAAAAATGTTCCGATAAACGTAAAAAACAAGCAGAAAAAAACTTTGAAAAATCTTATAAAAGACATAAAAAACGTAATTAAAATTCGATAACCAATAAATTTTGAAAAAATCACTGATGAGAGAGATGAAACCAACCAAAATTTTGCATACACTCTTCCAACTAACAAAAACAAAAATGCCTGGTCGATTCTATATGATCAACTGCAGTTCACCTCTGTAATCGACTACATCTTACACAGTAACGTACTGAACGAATTAATTCACGCTACAGTTAGATTGTAGAAATCCTAGTTTCCTGGTTTCACTTTAGCAACCGATAGAAGAGAAATATAACTCACTCAAACTAAACTGCCTTCTGAAGTTCAGAGGACAGAAACTTGGGCATCTGGATAAAGCTTGGTTGGAGGTACTATTGATGAGTATAACAAATCCGCAAAGCTTTAAAGTTTTTAAAAAGCATACTTTTACCACGCTTCAATTGGGCAAAAATTCCTAGAAGTTTAAAACCCCGTTCCACTGCATCAACGTAGCTTCAAAAATGAAAGCTTCCAAGCCGGGATTCTCATCATCTTTAATCTCATCTTTTTTAGTGACTCTCAAATTTCTCACCTTAATTTTGGTGTAACGAACGTTAAGCAAATAATTTTAATTTGTTGCACTGAAACATATAATTAAAGACACACACATAAAATTATCATGCACAGATTACCTATAATATACACGCATGCGCAATAAAATCAATTCGATAATGCAACTGAGCTCCCTACCCAAATCCCACCAAAAGCTACGCAACCAACAGCCACCAAAGACTTTGCAGTTTACCAATGATAAAGAACCCTCGTTAACATTCGTAAAATAGAACTAGAACTTTACTGCTAATCGCCAGAACACCACTGA